GTTCCTTTTAATGGCTGAGTAATGAATGTTCCACTGTATGGATTTACCATTGTATTTACCCACTGATCAGCTAAAATTATGCTGCTTTGTATGAACATCCATGTATGAATTTTGCAAGATAACATAGCACAAATTCAAAGAGTCATTGTAGTTTTCTGGTTAATATAAATCAAATTCAAAATCTCAACCATAATAAATGAGACACTTACGGGGAAGTTGTTGTGGACGCTCAGGAGGGAAAAAATCTCCCTTTGGTAAGGCCCTCTCATCCTGAAAGAGAAAGTAAATATATCTCAGTATTCCTAGAAGACTGTTGGCAACAGCAAAAGACAGGAACAACACCCATCAACAGACGACTAGTTTAATAAATTATGAGACACCCTCACCATAGAATACCATGCACGTAGAATTTGAAACATCTGCCGGAACCGGTTTGGTTCAGTGGATAGAGCGTCAGCCTGCGGACTGAAAGGTCCCAGGTTCGATTCCGGTCAAGGGCATGTACCTGGGTTGCGGGCACATCCCCAGTAGGAGATGTGCAGGAGGCAGCTGATCGATGTTTCTCTCTCATCGATGTTCCTAACTCTCTATCTCTCTCCCTTCCTCTCTGTAAAAAATCAATAAAATATATTAAAAAAAAAAAAAAAAAAACATCTGCCTACTGGTCAGCATCCATTCTTTCTTTAATAACTTTGTTTTCTCTTTAATGAAATAATACAGTTTCATTGGCAAATGTAAGACTACAGATAGATCATCTCCCTAAGTAATGTATTAATAATATTGAGAAATTTTACCTTTCCTTTGAAATAAAAAACAATGTGAGTATAAGAAAAAATTCAAGTATAAGAAATATATATTTTCTACTTCCTATAATACTATGCTGGAAAAAAACCCCAGAAGATTAAGCAATCAGTTAAGTAAAATAAATGTTTTCTTAAACAGCCACTAAATATTTTGTATGTTAATACTCTTAAGTGGACTCTAGCAATGTTAGATTTCGCATTTTTACATGTTTGAAAATAAACTAAACTTTAATTTTAATGATGTAAGAACAAGGTAAAACCATTACCTTGGGTGTGCTTCCTTTAATGAATTTTTTAATTGAAGACAACAAGCCGGTTTCATTCTTCGGTGGTTTTTCTCCTCCTGTAGGTAGGCTATCATCAACTTCTGAATATTTCCTCTTTGCTCTGGCAGTGCGCTGTGTTTGGATTGGATTGGATTGCTGAGAAGCTTTCCGTGTTCTCAGCCTCATCTTTTATGGGTGCCACATGTAAAACTGTAAGAGAGAAATAACAAGGGTTATTAAAAACTTAATCTAGCATACCCATAGTTTTCCAACTTATATAATAAAAACCTCTTGGTTAAAAAAAGTCCAGGTTTCAAAGGGATTGAAATAAGAAATTAACATTTTATGTGATTGAACTTTATAGTATACATTATCCCAAGTAACCTTCCAATCTTTTGAAATTATACCCTGTGATTGAACACCAGTGTGCATTCTCTCTACAGCACTATGTTGCCTCCATCCATGCCCACATTATCATTTATTTAACCATTCATTTATTCATTCAATAAGTTTCTCCTGAGCACCTACCACATTTGAGGCACTGGGCTAGGAAATTACCTAGTAAACAATAAACAAGATAGGGAAAATTTTGCCCTCTGGAACTCAAACTGTAGTGGGGAAAAAACCCTTCGTCAATAAATGAATGCCATTAGCACATTCTAATAATCAGCAATCATACAAGTGTAACAAGAAGTTAAACCATTTTCCAGGATTTGATCTTATCTTATTTAATGATACTTTAAAAACTGAATTCCCACAAGAAAGAACATATGAACCAATCTACTTGACTTTTCTCATTTTATCGATGAGAAAATAGGTGGCAAAACTGTCCCAAGACTTACACTTATCTTACCACTCTGAGACTCAAAATGAAAAAGAAATTAGAAAACAATATAAAGTGTGGAGAACAATAAAATTACTCACAACAGTGAATGCATTTGTAGAAATTCTAAGCAATCTAAAGGTGTAGAAATAGTTAGGGTCTTCACTGACCAATTAGGAAGCTTAAGAAATTGTGTCTTTACTAATTCAACATAATGGTCACAGAAAAAAAGTTAGAACCCTTTAAAATATATATAAAAACTTTATACTACTATAGTATGCTATGCTATACTATAGCATACCTACTTTAAGAATAACAACAAAAAAACCATATCCCCTAAATTCAAGGGATTCACCGGAAGTTCCAAAATATCTTTCAAAATAAATTTTTTCCATCACCAAATGATACTCAGTTTTTTCCTTTTATTTTTTTAATCCTCATCCGAGGATATGTCTTGACTGATTTTTTAGAGAGAGACAAAGAGAAAGAGAGAGAGAGAGAGAGAGAGAGAGCGAGAGCGCACATCAATCGGCTGCCTCCAGTACACGCCCCTCCTGGGGGTAAAAGCCACAGTGCCCTGACCAAGAATCGAACCCTCAAACCTTTTGGCATATGGGACAACATTCCAATTAACTGAGCCACCCGGCCAGAGGCAAATGGTGCTCAGTTAAGTTGCTATCCCCAAATGAAATAAATATTGCCTTTTCTCCTAAAGAGACAATGTTGACTTATAAAGGGAGTTATCATTCAAGGCATGTATTATTTACTTAACTCGATTAACATTGCATAAATTTGTCTTAATTCCTTTAGTTTTCAGCTCAGCACTTCTTAGAAAAGGAAAATTCCCATGCCATAAGAACATAAAAGTATTTTTTAAAAGAGTTATTTTTAATCAATTTCCATAGATATTTTTTAAAAGATTTTAGTCTTGAAACTTACCAAGACTTGTTTTACAGCTCACCACATGGCCTATCTTGGTGAACCTTGCATGTGAGATTAAAAAGTAGTGTTTTCTTCATCTGTGTGTGAGCAGTCAGTTTTGAAATTCCATGAGGGCTTGACTGCTCTAGCCCTATCAGACTTAAAAGTACACCTTTCACAACTCACCATCAGAATGGACAAAATTCCTCCACATTTCATAACTTTCTTGTTTAAATGTTCTTGTCTTGCATTCCATAAATACCCACTGGTTATTTTTTAATTCAGAGGACTTTTTCTCCTAAGCTTTCCCAGAACCTTCATTCTCTCCATGCAGAATGGTCTAGCATTTTATATATACACTAGAGGCCCGGTGCACAAAAATTTGTGCACTCCGGGTGAAGGGGGGGGTGTCCCTCAGCCCGGTCTGTGCCCTCTCGCAGTCAGGGACCCCTTGGGGGTGACCACCTACTGGCTTAGGCCCACTCCCCGGGGGATTGGGCCTAAGATGGCAATCAGACATCCCTCTGGCAGCCCGGCAGCCCTCGGGGGATGTCCACTTGCCAGCGGGGAGCAGGCCTAAACTGCAGTTAGACATCCTTAGCGCTCCTGAGGAGGCAAGAGAGGCTCCCACCACCTCCGCTGTACTGGCAGCTGTCAGCCTGGCTTGTAGCTGAGTAAAGCTC